ATCTCTTAGTGGCAAGAAAAAGGTAAATATGGGATAAGGAAAACTCAGATGATTTTAAGTGCATCAGCAATTCAGCATTAATAGATTCAGCATTTCTTTTTCATTCAAAACATGTCATGGCTCTGTTCATATTGCAACCAATCAGTTGTTTCTTTTTTTTGGCATAAATGCCTGCCAAGGAATCTATTGACAAGTACAGTTCAGAGTGTATTGCTAAAATGTGGTTTGTGAGACCAGCTTCCAGAGGCGTTCACATACTACACAAATAAGTAAAAATAGAAAGAACAGTATGTACAATAGTGTGTACTGTGTATGAGCATTCATATGCATGCATATTCATGCTATACATTACAGCTGTATTGGATATACATTACAGCTGTATTGGACATAGCTATATCCAAAGCTTTTGCAATACAAAGGCAATGAAAATAATCAGAAATGCTCAAGGAAAACGTCACTTGCCTAACACCTACTATCCTTTGAAATTCTTCTTCCATAGAGTAAATCATACAGCTGTGGAAATCATATTTTGATGTCAGGTTGTGATTCTGTCATAAATATGAAAAAAAAGGGTAAGTATTCAATTATTGATAAGCTAAATGGTCTACCACCTGCAAGCAGTTTACTGCACACAAATTCAAATAAAAATATCTTAAGATTTCCCCAGCATACAACTAAAATTCAGAGATATTTAAAGGAACGCAATTTTAAACATTGCACATATTATTAACTGGATAAAAATAAGCTTCCATTTCCTTGCTTTTCCCCATAATTCTTCAGAAATTTGTTGGTTTAACTTTCCATAAAGCATAAGAAATGCTTGTGGACGCATACACAGAGAGAGTAGTAAATACCATGATGAAGCCCTTTCGCAGTGTCAAGTAATCTGCACGAACAACTGAGTTTCCAAATTGCCTGAAGAAACAAGTCTGCAAATTTACAGGATTAGGAAGAATCTGAATAAAATTATCATGTATGTAGTCTCAATGTTTTTAGCACAGCTGAATTCAGTAAATAAAAAATTCATGCCTTTCCACCAATAAATAAAATAATGCTCCAAAATAAGTTATAAATGGCATTTTGCCATAATACACATTACACAACCTATAACCATAGATTTCCAACACCAATCTCTGCCAATGAGCAAAGGATGAATCACCCTCCAGA